CTCTTGATTAAAGTCAGAATAATTCTTCCATACGCTCCGCTCCCCCTCACCTGAGAATGGGAGGAGCCAGTGCCGTCTAATGTTAATGACGTGTACCCTACATGACAAACAGAGCTTCATCATGGCAGGTGTGTTGCAGTATATTCATTATAAGCTTTGCTTACAGAGACTTTATTCAACACCATGACAAGAGACTGGCAAAATACAAAGTCTTTGGAGTCCAAATCCAAAATTAGTTTTTGTGATGACTTTGTGCAGCCCTTTTCTCTTGTTCATCATCTTCACTGACGTGTTTTATCCATTTAAATATATATTTTTTCTATTATTTTATTGTAAAGTCAGCAGCAGACTTGTTGGATTTGTTCTTTGTCAATACAGTATGCTTTTGTAAGACTTCAAGTGCAAAATACAGATAACAGTACTCTAAATGCTTGATTGTTATTTCAACCTTAACCTTATCTGTATTTTTAAAACAGTATTATGTTGTAATATTTTATTAAAACATACTATGTTTTAATATTTGATTAAAATATAGTATTATAGAATATAATCAAATATAGTTGCCAGTTTAGTAATACATGCAATGAGACTAAGACTTGAGGTCAAGAGTCTTGAGACTTGACTTGGACTTARGAAAAAAGACTTGTGTACATCTCCGCTTATCGTAGAACATTTTATTCCAGAAAGGCTGCGGCTCTTATTCCCATATTTTTGGAACTTTCTCTCAGTAGCAGTGAAAGTGGAAACAGTTGTCTCATATTTATGCAGCAAAGACAGCAGTCTTTATGTAATCAAGTTCTAAAAATGCGTAAAATGTGAGTTGTGGTTTCATTTGTGTTGTTTTGTGTGAGGAACTAATTTCAAATCATCAAAATAGTGTTAGTGATTGCGTGCAAGGGCACATTTTGCATTTTGTGCATAATGTGTTTGGATTTTACCAAATTGCTTCATTTACATTTTCTTCTTAAAAAACAGGCTTATTAAAAATGATGTGTTGAAAATTCAGAGGTCCAAATAATAAGTGCAGTTACAAATGTGATAAATCTGTGCTGCTTATGTAAAACTGTTGTAGGTTATTGTTCACATGTTCTGTCTAATACACATTTTCATCACTTTAGCCAATATTTTCTGTTCTTGCTAGGTGAATAAAATGAGTGTGTGTGTGTGGGGGGGTGTTTTTGGTGACATTTGGGGGCAGTTTTAAGACAAAATGCCTACATTTGGGGACAACTGGTGCATTTGGGGGACCTAAGTCGAGTCCCCATTTTGTTTAAATGCCATTGGTGGGTTGGGGGTTGGGTTTAGGACCAAGGTGTGAATTGAGTTTAGGTTAGTTTTAGGGTCAGGTAGGTACCTGTGAGATTAATTTCAGGGTTTGTGGTCAGGGTTAGGATATAAAATTACCAAAAAATGAATGGAAGTCAATGGACCGGCCCCACAAGGATATAAAAACAAGTTTGTGTGTGTGTGTGTGTGTCCTCTTTGTGCTTCATGCTTTCCACATGTCTTCCTACATCCTGTCTGTCAGATCACTTTTTTATTATTCCAGCCTGCTGGTCTCCATGGCTACAGCAGGTGTAAAGCAGCAGTTTGAAGTTGATAAAAATATTACCAGTTTATTTTTAATTATCAGGAATCATTAGGGAAGCAGCAGATTGCCCCATGAATCATTTGCAAGGATCTGCTTGGTGCYTTTCTTAAGTGGCCAGAGAAATTAAATTGATGCAAATATGCAGGCAGTTTTATTCTTAGAAGCATGAATCTTGTCTTCTTTTGAATTATTGCGAATGTGCGCAGTGAATGGCTCTGATGGAAGATGTTTTGCAGGATGCAAGTTAAACCAGGTTTTCTGAGAACGGTGTGGATTTTGACAGTTTTTGTTGTTGCCTTCAGATGGCAGTGTTCCTCTTAGTCTAGGATCAAACAGAGAACAGGGGGATCCTGCTGYACAATCATAGAAGCACTTCTAATAGACAGATCACTCCAATATTTAACATGTTGCAATTAAAAGCATCTCTACTATTTTTCACCCCCTGGAGGCGTCATAGGTATTCTGCTTATTTAACTGCTGCCTATTGGATTATTATGTTATCCTTTTTTATCCGTCTCTGTTCTCGGTCTCCTCTGGGAGCAGAAATACCGTAGTTTGTTTCCTGTGCCGGATCCAGGCAAGTTAAATAATGAAGCAGAGAGAAAAATCCTGCAGAGCTGCATCAAAGTTTTGTGGCTCTGGTAATGCCATCGAAGGYGGGAAAAAAACACTTCATCATTAGTGCAGTCAGTGGGCACCTGACCAGACCACCCATTGTATATCAAGCTGTGCTTCTTGGAAAAGCCTTTGTGTTTTGGCATGTCTTAGAAAACAAAACAGCCCCCCTGATTAAAATCCATCATCAACATGTTTGTCTGTTTGAAACCCGGCACAACAAGTGAAGACAAATGCAAAAGCAACGATAAAACCAGTGTGGCTGATTAACAGCTCCTTTCATTCGTTTACATTATTTTCATCATGATGTCATGTTTTCAAAGCAGCAGGGCTTTATGTTGTGTAGCCATGGCTGTCGTAAACAGAAAAACGCAGCGGGGTGCTTTTCTTTTCTGTTCTCAAAGAAACCTCAGAGTGTTCGGAACTGTTTAATGATTTATATACAACTGAAAAGTTATTTTTTTACTGTTTCGTTTTGCAGCTGAATTGGGTTGTACAAATGTTGTACCAGTTTCTCTGCTCACTTTGTTCATTGATTTACTCTGGCTTCACATTACATCAGAATTTTATATAGTTTGCTTAGATTTTTTTTTTCCCGAATATTTGAAAAAAAAAAAAAAAGGCACAGACTCTGCCTCTAAAAAACATGGTGGCACCCAGTAAACATTTTGGCTTTAGTTTTGAGTAATGGAGGTTAATGAATTCCATCTGTTCACCGTTATTTATGTTCATGAAACCTTCTGACACAATTTGGTTAAAATACATCAAAATTCGTTTCAGTTATTCTTTCACAGCAGATTTTATTTTGAAAAGCTTGTGGCGATAAAGTTGTGGTAGCTGGATTTTTCTCTACTTTTAGCCTTTTGTGTCACATAAATCTGAGCTCTCATGCATAGGAAAGTGACATTTTGCATATCTTCTAACTTTTTTATTTTTTTAAAATTGAAGGCAGTTTTAGGAGTTTTTTCCTTTCCCTGGCTTTGTCGCCACAGTCTGGGTGTATTTGTGACTTTGGCTTGTGCCCATGCCTGACAGGTGTGGGATGGAGCAGAAAGTGGACGGTGCCTCAGGCTTTACACCTGCCACTCGGGAGCCGTGCGTGACGCCTGTTGGACCCCCTGTGGGCGACAGCTCCTCACCGGCTCATTTGACAACACGGCTGTGATCACTGACGTGGAGACAGGTAAGTAGCAGRACTTCACTCTGTATTTCTCCAGAACCACACGTTCCTCAGGGGGAAAAAAACTAGATTTTTTTATTATTAAATATGCATACTTGTGTTTACGTGTAATAAACCAAGTAGYTTGTTGTGTTTATGTGTGTATTTTCCCCAGTTCACAGTGACCTAATAAAAATTCTCTATAAGCTGTTTTTAATTAAACATTTTCCAGGTACTCTGCTTCTGTTTGGCATTTGTAGCTCCTGGAAATTAACTGAGAAATTAATATGCAGGGTGATTTGAAATCCCTCTGAATCCCTAAGTCTGTTCGAAATCCAAGTTGTGTATTGCTCAGCTGCTCCTTTCTCGGTCTGACTGGGGAAAAGATGTTAAAATATGTATTTGGACATWTAAATGGTATTTATTCCCACTATAAAGACTCATCCCAAGTGCAGCCAAGAAATCAAACTTCCTTTCCGAAAATGTTTAGAAAACAGCAAGATTTACCTTGTGATGCCGCGTTTGTGTGCTTGATCTATTTTGGCTCATAAATTTTAACATATTATCAGTTTTTAACAATAATGCATTTGTTCTAATTATTTCTAGAGCTGAGCAGAGGTTGTGAGCTTAGAGAGGAAAAAAAGATTCTCATTCATACTTTTTGCCTTATTTTCAGGTTAGTGGAATTGTTTCAGATACTGGCTCACCAAAAGAGCCCCATCACTTTGTCCCKGACCCCTTTTCTACTACAGTGAAGAAATTTATTAGWCATTTAGATACTGATTTCAAAAGCACTACACCATTTCATAGTTTTCCTTTTTAAGTATTGAGTCTTATAAACTATTGTGTAACTATAGTTATGTCTTGATTAAAATAGTTTTAGTTACATGCCTGAAACACCATAACAACACATATAACCCGTTAATGAACCATAAGGAAAGTGATTTTGTTGGAGTGTCTGCGACTCAGCTGTGGACCTGTAGGGGGCGGGCCAGACACTGAAGAACCATGTTAAAATGAGCTGCACTTCCGGGTTTCCACCAGCGCTGGTTTGATGCTTATGGCGTGAGCAATACAACCTTCATTCAGAATCCAGTACTGGTATTTGTATGGTCCATCCTTTTCGCATTTTAATCTATTCAACATTCATGTGGTTTATGCCTGGGTAAGATCCGATTTCAGTAAACGAACACTAAATTTTCTTACATAACTAAAACCAGTGATGGGCAGCGCTAATCCAAAATTTAGCTCTGCAATTTCGGAAGCGCWTATGAAAATATTTAGGTCCGCAACTTCAAAAGCGCTTATGCCATAGAAAAACTAGCTGAAGCTAATTTTAAAGCGCAAGTTCAATTTGACACTCACTAGCTAGCAATAATTCATGTACAGTATATGCACAATACTACCAACTAGTGGTGTATGAACCCTTTTACAGCTTAATCCTACAACTGCTGATTGCTGGGGATGTGATTTACTGAAACAGACCTTTGGCTCCAGGTGTAAAAATTAAAAAGTTGATGAGGATTGCTAGTTCGGCTGCTTCTTTGTCTTTTTCTTTTGTTTGTTGTAGATTTTTCATTAAAGAAGAATCAATAAAGTAATTTTAAAACTGTTTATTGGAAATCTGAAGCGATGCATTCTGGGTACATGACGGATTTGATTTGTGACGGGAAACAAAAGCACGGTGTACAGGAAACTATCTTCACTTCAAAATAAGAGCTTGGATTTTAAAAGTTTTCCATGTAGTTGCTCCAGTCGACCACTAGATGTCTGTGTTCATCAGCATAACATCTTTAAATCATTTCTGCAGCCCGTTGGCCGATTGCTTCGACCAATTATGTCAAGTATTGAGCTCCAGCATTTAAACCTTTTTTTAAAAATGGAGCTGCGATTGTAAAGTAAAATAAATCAATACATACAAAATTTTAGTATGGATTACAAACATTAACTGTTTTCACCTGGTCACATAGTTCTAACCATTGCCTTCCTGCTAGGTAAGCAGACACGAAGCGTTGTAGGAAATGAGAACCGTGATGAACACAACAGTCAGAAAGGATGTATACCTTCTCAATAAGTGTGTTTATCCGCGAGGGGTGCTGTTGGATAGATCACGTGTGTTGTGATTCATTGACAGCCATACCTTCCGCTGTTCAAGATAATAATGACTGGTAGATAATTAGTTATTAGCGGTACTGCATTTTAATTTTAGAAAGCGCAAATCCGCTTATGAATTATAAAAATTAGTAAGACCACTAAAGCACAAACGAAATAGTTAGGTCCAGAATTAGRGGATTTGCGCTTTAGTGGGCTGGTGCCCACCACTGACTAAAACTATTTTAATCAAGACATAACAACAGTTACACAATACTTTATAAGGCTCAATACTTAAAAAGGAAAACTATGAAATGGTGTAGTGCTTTTGAAATCAGTATCTAAATGACTAATAAATTTCTTCAACAGTGTATGGAATCTGTCAGGAGCATGTTGAGTGTCTCATGGCAAGTAAAAAAAAAAGGACTAATACTTGGTAAAATATATCTTCCTTTTAGGGTCATTTATGGCTTAAGTCTCCCCTTGGCTCCTAAAAATACATTATCAAAATGTGCACTCATTCATAACAAAAGAAAAAAAGGTTTCTAAATATAAAACTGCATCCATCTATATTAAAGATGTGTCTCAGTGTGTATTTCTACACACTGAGACACACACCTCCTTTTAAACTGAAGGGTTCATACTTTCTGAATATGTGGATATTTGTTTCTAATTGTCGATTTTTAGCCAAATCTGCTTCCTAGTTGGGTTTGCAAAGAATGTCAAGGTGACATTTAGAAAACGAAAATCAACAAATCGTCTTGCTTTCTGGCCTGATATATGTTTAGCGGGATCTGAATAACTGACTTTCAACGACAGGAGTGGCCTGAAACAAAGGAAGCATTTCTGCATCCGAAAGTCCAACTTTTAGGAAGAATTATCAGGAATCATTTCAAACTTCAAATCTCTATGGAGTTTGAACAAAATGAGCCAAAGTCATCAGAAGTGATTTAGAAGCCCCACCCTCTGGGGGGAGGTCTGTGCGTATCTGAGGTCAGCACATGACAGTGACGGCTCGCTACAGTTTGTACTTCCTCTTCCAGCACGTCTGTCAATACCGTCAATAGAGCCTACGGATAATAGCTTGGCCCGCCCATTAGACACACAGGCAGCTCCAGGAAGGGAATCAATAATAAATACATCACCACAGGAGCAGCTTCCATGACCTTATACTGCAACGTCACTAACCGCAACCATAAGCAAACAGATGCATATTTGATGGCCAGGGCCTTGATTGGCACCTTTAGCATCTGAAGTGATGTCAGACCTCTGCAGAGACCTCATGCGTCATCCTTCTTCTCACCCGCCACCATCAATAATGGTTTTACTTGTGTGTTCATGTGTCTGTTACCAAAATATCTTATGAAGTACTGAATAAATTTAATGAAACTATATTAAAATATTTGCAGATACAGATACAATTCATTAACTTGTTGAGTTGGCCCAATTTAAAATGGCTACCACAGGCGGATGACCTTAAAAAAACTAAAAAACAAAGTCAAGAACTCCTGATTTTACATGCATTGACAAAATTTTAAGATAGTAGTAGTAGAGAGTGACCCTTGACACATYTTCTGAGTTCTAACAGATAGTTCAAGATTTTTATTTTAACTTTTTAACGTTTGATAGTCAACTGTGCTTTTCTGTTAGCAAAATACAATATCTCATGAACCACTAAATGGATTTTAATGGAACTTTCAGGAAATAATCACTCACTGTTGGAGTCAACCCTAATCAAGATGGCCACTACAGTTAACTGATTATAGTTTAAAAAAACATTTGCTTTAATTCAGTCAGTTTTATGAATATTGAGCTYTAACTTTGTGAGGTTGTAGCTGAGAGTCATTTACAACACATATTTCAAGTTCTTTCTATTACCTACGATCTTTGAATACGACYTCAGCATTCACTTTGGAAGTCATCCCTGTTTTTCTGTTAGCAAAAAAATCATACGATCCACTGGAAAGTTTCTATTGAAATCAAACAGTAATCACTGGAGATATACTGTATCTACAACTGAATAAGTTTTTGAGTCAGTCAAATTCAACATGGCTGGAACATAGCTAAATGATATTAGCCAACACAAAAATGGCCATAAATCAATCAGATATTGGGCTAAAATTTGATGRGGCTGAGAGTAATTTAGAACACAATACTCTGAGAGTGACAACTGGTGTTTTTAAGGTTGGATCAAAGCGGCTACAACTTTTTCATGTTTTTTAAATGTTTAAAAAATTTTAATTTAAAACTTTATTCATTTCATAAAAAACAAAATTAATTCTATGTACAATAAAAATAAAAGAAAAATACAAATACAATGAAATGAAAGGCAGCAGAGAAGAATTTTTTTTGATAATAGCTGCCCCTTTTTTCCTCAAATATAAATTCAAACAATAGTAATCTTTAACATAAGATGATCTTAATCTTAAACAGTGTTAAGTTATATGCATTCCTTTAAGAAATGCAAGACCTTTACTACTATTATACAACCATTTACACACTCAAACACACCTAGGGACAATTTAGAGTTACCAATTATCCTAACTATATAGTATTTGAGAAATTAATTCAGCCATCTTGTTTCTGGAAGTCAGAACCTGCATGTGTGTGTTGGCAAGAAAGAGTAATACGGCTGCGATCTCAGCCAGAGAAATGAAAGAAAATTTAATTTAGGAGCATATTAATGTGGGAGTTGGGAATCAGCCCAGTTCCTGCACAACTGTAGCACAGTTTAATGTGGTGGGGCTGAAATGAAGTCCCTCACACTTTAAACWCAATCATATTCAAGCGCTGAAAGGAACGTGGGGAATCAGCTACATTCACAATCCCTTTCATGATATTTTAAATACYGAKCAGCTTTTCATCGTAACATTAAAAGAAATGTCTCCAAGTGATGGAAAGCAGCAATGACAACACGCCCTTATAGGCAGCTG